CTCCACTGGAAGACGGACACTCCGAAATTCTTGGTTACTGTATCGAAAAATACGACGAAAAAATGAAGAAGTGGATGTTTCTGGCCCACTGCGTTGATAATATCTATACAGTAGGTAAGAGAATGTGGCTAAACCGGCCTTCTACCAAAAATCACATGAGTGGCACTCTGATTTATAATCTTCGTGCATACTCTTTGCAGATAGTCTTCCTACTGGTTCTTATCAACGTTTCCGGGTTTCTGCCGAAAATTCTGTTGGAAGGGGGTCTTCGATCGAATCGAAGAGGGTCAAGTCGTCTGCAGGTTAGTCCAAGGACTGTTCATGCAACCAATGAATGCCCCTAGAAAACGACTTGTTACAGAGACGGCTCTTCGCATGGAAAAGCCAACAGCTACCTCATCAGCTGGCTCGATAATTGCAATGTGGAAACCATTGCCGGACGATGACGTCAGCTACATCGTCGAAATTAAAGAGGTTGTGCTCTTTGGAGCCACTTGTGACGACTGAAGTGGGCGGGGAACACGAAGAACTAACAAACTGCTGTCGCACACCTCCGAAAACGAGCAACCTACATGCAGGTTCCTTAGGTTTAAGCAGGACTATGTGTAAAATTTATTTGATCTGAATGTTTTGAACAGTCCTGGTTACACCTCACAATTAGTTGGCGCTACCCCGAAATAGGGCATGAGGAGATAAGAAGGTAAAAAATCAAACAACTCAAGGTAGGAACTTGACGTAGTTCAGTTTAGCTATCGATATTTGTGAATGAGTTCGCGCAGAGCAGCTGTGTGTTGGTGCCACCGTATTTGCTCGTTCTAAAGTTTCCGCCTGTGTTCTTCTCTCCTTGGTCCTAATGAATCGCTCGCACCCCACCAGAAAGCGCATAGGGGCGCAACATTAAGGGAGGATCCCACGATAAGGTTGAAAGTTGAAGAAAGGGGAACTCCCTGCTGGAAAGACAGGCGGACGTCTATGGGTGCCGGCCGACACGCAATTCCAGCGAGCGATATACCCGGCGTCCAGGCATGATCGTCCCGGCCGACACAACCACCGACTGACTAACCGCTTGTCGCAGGCCTCTAGCCATTCAGCAGCGAGAGCATTAGCGTTGAAAAGAGCAGTATCAATGGGAATCGCATCTATGCGGGAATCAACGGGCAAGGAAGGGGTCTCATTTCTCGGGTTCTCAGTCGTTTGTCATGCTTTTTTATTCATCCCGACACCACTTACAACCTCAACCTTATTCTAATGGCTGCCTGCTCATCGTAAACCCGGCCTTTATCCTTTGAGAGAGAAACGTCCGTTTTAGAGTGCGAATGGAGGAGTGAGGTTATGCCGGTTGTGTGGGGTTCCCTCTCGCGTATCAAGTATTTGTAAAATGATGCCTCTTGTAAACCTGGTCGCTGGCTAGTCGTGGGGCTATGAAGTGAAGTGTATTCGGTCACCGTGTTAATCTTGCACTAGAATACAAATTTTCGTATGGGTACGGAAGCTTCTGCTAGAGCAGCAATGCAGCAGCGTAAGCTGAACTTAATTGGACGTCTCCAAGTAGGAACTGAAATTGTGTCTTCCTCAATCATTTCAGGAAAGAATCTGATCCGTCTTGATCGCTCTATCACCGGCTTACCACGTCAACTTTTTTGGCAACTAGTTTGTGTAGCAGGAGAAACGGGATTTTATTGAGTTTTTGAGCTGTTTCATTACCTTGATAATTTTCCGAGGTCGGCGGAACGCGTGCTTAGACTGACTAGTGTAATTGCGCAACAACATGTTCCGCTTTTGGTTCTTGTCGAGTGCCGTGTGGGAGTTATCAGATCGAATGGGCTTTATTTGTATTTGGATCTGAATTTTTCATGGGGACCACTCGCTTACGTCAGAAAAATAGAGCCAAAGGCTAGCAAGTAAAACATGGGATGGAAATAATAGTCCAGAGAGGAGGTGGATACCCGAGTGCTCCGAACGAAATACCTATTCGCCTTCTTTTCACTTGGGCACGGAAGTATTCTTGATCTTCATTAGGTAAAAACCTTTGTCGTTCACTTACGATGCTCGCCCAAAACTTCAAAAATTCACGGAATGCGCCACTTCGCGTTCTTCCTTTCTTTTTGTACTAATATATTTACCTTAGCATTAATTTAGCATTGAGATTTTCAGTTCCATAGATACCATGGAACTCAGCTCATATAAATGTGTTATAAACAATGTGAGACTCCAAATATTCATTGCAAGAGACTAAAGATGAGTGCAAATGTTTTTGCAAAAGCTTAGGTCTTTTTTGGCGAGCTTTCGGCGCTTAGCGCCTTTGTCAAGCCTGAAATAAATAAGTAGAAGCTTTTGAAGTCTGTTAGCATATTAAAGTACACTAACGACCGGGGTGAATATCGGTCGAGGAAAGTCCTCAACAGGGGGGTCGTACTTGTCAGGCTGGGTCATGGGGGTCGTACTCATGTCATGTCTTCGTTTTTTGCTGCGCTACACCCTCCTACACCTATCTGCACCACGATACCACTGATGTTACTGACCCCCACGAGTACGACCCCCCATGACCCAGCCCGACAGGTACGACCCCCCTGTCGAGGATTTCCTCGACCGATATTCACCTCTGGTCGTTAGTACACATTAATATACTAACAGACTTCAAGAGCTTCTACTTATTTATTTCATTTCAGGCTTGACAAAGGCGCTAAGCGCCGAAAGCTCGCCAAAAAAGACCTAAGCTTTTGCAAAACTTTTGCAACTCACACTTTTGCAATTTCTTTTGTAAAAAGTTTTGAGTCTTTTGCAATAAATTTTGAAGTCTCACATTGTTTATTACACATTTAGATCAACATGAGACTTCCGGGACAGAACAATTCAGCTCTTATAATAGGAGGCTGTCTCAAATTTTTGAAAAAAAAACTTCATTCTGTTTTGCGCCAACTCGAGTTAAACTCCAAGATGTATCTGTTTGTGTGTGGTGTGCGTATAATCCTGCTTGTGAGACCTGATCAGACCTGGATATTCAGAACTTGTAGAATATCTGGAGACGTGAAAGCTCTTCAGTTGTCTATGAATAGAGCGAAGAATTTCCGAACTACATCGCGATGACTCACGAATCGAGACAAGTCCAACGAAATGCATAAATCTGTCGTTTTTTTCGAAATACGAATACTGAACATTCCAAAAATTTAGTTCATTGATGTGTTCCTAATAACTACTCGGTATTATGAATATATAGGATATATGCCCCGCGTTTATAAAATGAATGATATTTTTGTACCGATTGTGCAGCACGCGGCCGGAGTCTAAACAGGCGCGGGCCACACGCGCTGGCCAGCCAAAATTGGCGCGGTACGCAATGGGTAAAGAGATGTTTTGTCGAAGTCTCAGTAGGTAGCGACAAAACCTCTGTACTATCGAGGTCTACGTTACTTTTGTATAGGATTAAATGACGTACTTGGTCGCAGTTGAGCACTGTCCGTGGTGCGGCCAACTTCACTCCGCGTCGTGCCGCAGAAAGGGATCCGATTTCTGCTTTTTTAGGCGAACTTTCAAACGTAGATTTCACTGATCGGTTTTTCATGAAAAATACTCTCAAAATACATAAAACAAAGTTTGCAAGCACAGAACGCTGCTTTTCCACAGTTCCACCCTTCTCATCAGCGCCGATCGACTTCCCTAGGTCTTGGTCGCATGCGATTCACGTGCATGGTGTGTGAGGACGTTCCCACGCTCATGTATGGTCAGAAGAAGGTATTGATTGAGTCGCCCGCCAACTCAACCAAACAATCAAAGTCAGAGGCCAAGGAAGTCGATCCGCAGTTATGAGAAGCCCGAAGTGATGAAAAACGGTTTTTGGTTGCGAACTGTATTGTGTATCACTTGATAGAATTTTCACGGACAATCGACGAGTGCAGTACATTTCAAACTTGTATATTCTTCTGCAAAAGCGAAAAAATCCAATCCTCAACTAAGACAGGACTCGGAATGGTGTTTAGGACCGCACCATAGAAGTAATGCTCAACTACGAACAAGTGTGTAATCTTATCCTAGGATAGCGGAATACGTCGCTACCTTCTCAAATTTCAAAGAACCGACTTAGAAAAGACCAAATAGTAAGGTACGTCTGAGGAAGGAGCGAAACGAACCTTTCTCATTGTTTCGTTTATAAAGATTTTTTCTTTCTTGATTCTGACAAAAAAAATGCAAAGTCGCGTTTTTCGCACGAATTTTTGAAGTTTTACGGAGGGTACCGTACTTGAGGCCATTCCCCTATAAAACCTCCGGACTATACTCCACCATTACTGCCCCAAAATCTCAAAATTTTATTTTTCGTCGAAACTTTGTCTATTGGGGTAATTCGATGCCCTGATTACGAAATATGACATTCATTTTTGGCGCTGGCGCCATTTGGCGCCACCTTGTCACGACGGCTGTTTTCACCAAATTCGGTGTAAACTTGTGCATAGGGGTTATTTGGTGTCCTGATTACGAATATGACATTCTTTTTTTGGAATTGGCGCTGTTATGCTACTTTCTGCTCTCCTGGGCTCCCTCACCTAAGTGGAGTGCCTGAGGGTAAACCGCGGGGGAAGTGTAGGGGAAACCGCGTTGCGTAAACTGCGCGTCGAATGGCAAGAGATGAAGTGTGTGAGATCACTGGTTGAATGGCTTGCTCACTCTGAGCCTCGTCTTTCCAAATGCACAGTCCTGATTGCAATCAAAATCAGTGAGGTGGTGCAGACGAGCAGAAAAGAGGCACCAAACAGCGCCAACGCCTAAAATAATGACATTTTTAATAAGGGCACCAAATAACCCCTTTATATAATGGTACTACAAGATTACACCGAATTTAGTGAAAGCCGTCGTCGTGACAAGGTGGCGCCATTTGGCGCCAATGGCACCAGCATCAAAAATGAATGTCATATTCGTAATCAGGGCATCGAATTACCCTTATAGGCAAAGTTTCGACGAAAAATAATTGAAATTTTGGGGCAGTAAGAGTGGAGTGCCCAGCCAATATGAACCTCTGTATGCGGAAGCCGAAAGCTTGTAGTTTCATGCAGTAATAGATAGAATCCAATCAACGGGAAGGATTTTCTCATTCTTTGCACGGTTCCAGGCAGAAACAAGACGGCTCATGGAAAGCGGCTCACGCGGAACCAATTCAGGGAGATTCCTGTACTATCAGTGGTTTAAATCCTGGGTCAGCGTACATTGTGCGAGTAACCGCCATCAATTCGGAAAGTCAAGGGACGCCTTCAGAAGGAAGTGAAATAGTGAAGTTTGAGGATGTCAGAGGTTCGTTGCTTTGGCAGAATTCCGCATTTCGATTATGTCACATGGCAAAGAAGCGTTCAGCACAGCTCAATGATGAGCTCGTTCAAGAACGCTCCCGTTCTCGTTTTTTGGTTTTTGATTTTTGAATTTCTCGCTCTTGCCAGATCGTGATTTTGTGAAGTTGGTTCCAAGGAAACCTTGGAAAGTTGTCTCTTTCAGCAACAACCTTGCATGAATTGCAGAATTACCGTCGTTCGTGAATAAGCCTGGAGATACGGTAGTCGTCAAAGGCACAAAAGTCAAGGTCGCAGTGGAATTCAGTGGTTTTCCACTGCCAGAAGTGCGCTGGATGAGGAACAGGAAGGTACGTGCGAGAAATTGGCGGTTTTATCGACACCTCTGTGACCTGTCTCGTTCAATAGTCTATGCGCAGTGCGGTCATACTTCGTCTTTTTTCTCTCTTTTGGCTCTTCTTTACGGGGCAAAAGTTTATGTTCATTTGAATGGAAACATTCCACTGCCGTGAAAACATTGAGTTTTGAGTGATTTTTATTTAAGTCTTAATACTGAATGGGTAAGGGTTTTGGTATGAAATAGCCAGTTACAAGTCTGTGTCAAAATTTTCCTATTTTGTATTCCAAGTTTTCCAGGAGATCTTTTCTGGAGCGCGACAATGGACCGAGACCTTCGCTGACGTGTCCTCGTTCTCAATCGCCGAGATTCGTGACGAAGACGAAGGAGAATATACGGTACATTTAACCCATTATAAGCAAATCTAAAATGCTCTATTCTGAGTAATCGTGCTTTCTTCAGTAGAATAGTAGTAGTAGGCCGCTTTCTTCATCAACAAGGGCCTTTTTAGAACAGTGTATGCGGTTTCGCACTGCAATACCGCCCCTAATTTTTGTTCAATCGCCGAAATGTGATACAACTTTCCGTAGCAAACCGTCGTTTTGCTGTAACTTATGAAAATATGGCGCAAATGCTATAAAATTTATACCATCGGATAGCACTGTCATGACGAATCTAAAGATATAGCGAACTCTCAATTTCCTCGAAACCTTCGGCCTTATTTTCAAGGAAACGAGCGATTGAGTCTCTTCTTGCCAATAGCAGTACCTGCGGTCATAACACCATTGCAAACCCTCCAGTTCGACTAGGAAATTCAAAACACCTATTCCGAAGCTGGAAATGTGAACATTTTGCGAGCTTTGTGAACATTGAGAGCTTGAATTCGTGATCATACAGTACTCGCCGTTTGAAATCGAAAATTCACGCGAATAACGCGAATCCTCGTTAATTTCGTGAATTCGTTAGATATCTTTGAATTCAGCTCGTCGGACACTATAAGAATATGCTTTGATACTTTGGAAAAGCTCCATATAGGATTGCGCCATGCACTCGATTTTCATCTCAAAAAGTAGTTGCTCGCATGTGATGTGTATATAATCCCGCTTATGCGGGCTGACCGCTACACACAGAGAAGGGCCTCAAAACTTACCCCAGAATGCGCCACGTACTCAATCTCATCCACTACATTGTGAGATTAGATGAATGTTATTTTCCGAATTCTTAGATCTTCATTTCGTTTTTAAGCGCTTACTGGCTTTACGTGTTCCCTCTGCTCTCAATATCCCATCCTCTGTATATCAAGTGGAATCTTTGAACAGTTCTCAGCAGGCATAGTGGGCCTATTATGTGACATTTTCCATTTTCAGAGGAGATGTTTTGCAGAAAGCTGTGAAGATAGCGAACAATTTCCTTCACTGTCGTAGACTACGGTCACTTGTCTGTAAGGATTATATGGAAACCTTGGTCGCAGGTGAGCGTTTCTTCCGTGGTGTGACCCCAAACATCACCCCTCGTCATGCCTTTATTACGTGACAAGTTCCATTTTTAGAGGAATGTTTTGTAGAAAGCTGTGAAGGAAGCGAAGAATTTCCTTCACTGTCGTAGACTACGGTCACTTGTCTGTAGGATTATATGGAAACCTTGGTCGCAGGTGAGCGTTTCTTCCGTGGTGTGACCCCAAACATCACCCCTTGTCATGCCTTTGCCCCCTATTACGTGACAAGTCCCATTTTTAGAGGAATGTTTTGTAGAAAGCTGTGAAGGAAGCGAAGAATTTCCTCACTGTCGTAGACTACGGTCACTTGTCTGTAGCGATTATATGGAAACCTTGGTCGCAGGTGAGCGTTTCTTCCGTGGTGTGACCCCAAACATCACCCCTTGTCATGCCTTTGCCCCCTATTACGTGAGAAGTCCCATTTTTAGAGGAATGTTTTGTAGAAAGCTGTGAAGGAAGCCACGAATTATCTTTTCTGTCGTAAACTATGGTCATTTGTCTGTAGGAATTACGTGGAAAGCTCGGTCGCAAGTGAGCGTTCCTTCCGTGGTG